TACCATCTCCTTGCAGGCTCTGTTCTTTACAGCACAAGGGCAGTCTGTGTGGATTATAAGAGACATCTTCCCTCCTTGAAAAAGATCAGCATTTCCAACGTTTCAATCCAAGTCTTCAGAAAATCTGTCATGTGTCCCCTGGCTTTCAAACCTGATCACGGGTGCCATAGTCAATAAATGACAAATCCAATCAATCAAAAAATGTATATTAAGTGTCTACTGTATGCAATAGTGACATATACTGAAAAAAAAACTAGGTGACCTTTTCCCTTAAGATGATAATAATCTCCCTGTAAAGATAAAGCTAATACACAGGAAACCAGTAGAGAATTGCATGGTACTGGTTATCAAAGCTAGGAGAAGTGGTTACTTATTGAGCACTTACTATATTCCAGGTACTTTAAATGTTTAAAGGGAGTGCCTCATTTAGTTGTTCAGCAATGCTGTGAGGCTGGTTCTCTTGCTATTCTCCTTTTACAAAAAAAGAAGTGGAACCTCAGAGAGGTTAGGTAACTTGTGCCTAAGTTCATACAGCCAGTAAGCATCAAGGAGGAATTTGTTCCCTGTTCTGGTGACTGTCTTTCATTCTCTCAATTAACCTGACTTAAGAAATAGCCAGTGAAGGCTTCGTGGAGGAGGTGGGTACTGACCTAGGTCTTGGAAAGTGGGTAAGATACACCTAACCTCAAGGGAATAAGAGAATGAGAGCATTCTAGACAGAGGGAAGAGTCTGAGTTGAACACAGAAGCATGACTGTGAACCCTGCTTGTCGGTGGACCTGCTGGACAGGAGCAGAGGAGATTAAGTCATGAAGGCAGGGTGGGGCCAAATGATACCACACAGCAGCAGCTTCCTCCATTAGGAGGAAAAGGTTGCTCCTTGGCCTGTTCATGCTCCCAGGAAGGTACCTTACCCTCAAACTTAGGTAATCTATTCCAGACCATGGCTTTTACTCCCATTTAATCATTATTCTCTGTGCTAAGCACTGTCCCAAGAGTCACCTTCCCCAGACACTGAGAAGCCCATTTCTGTTCTCTAGACCTTTACTTGTTACACTAGTTTCCACTTGCCTACCGAACAGCTTTTATTCAAACAGCACCCCTTTGTGAATCTTTCTTTTTCTCTCAGTTTTAACCTTTTCCAAAACAGGAAGCAAATATTTGTCAATCCTAAATCCCACCCGTTATTTATATATAAATTCTGAATTTGTGGTAACAGAGTCACAGTCTTTATGATTAATGTTTCTGGAGGTCTTTGAGGTTCTTAAGGATTCACATCAGTTGGAACTTCGGGAGAATGTACCTGCATAGCATAGGGAATCCTTGCCTTGCACAGAGCAGTCAATACTGGGTGACTTAATTGGATTCCTCCTCCCAAAAAAAACCTTGCCATATCTACTGGGAATATAATTCAGCACTGTGGCCACAACTTGGTGAGCATTCCTAGTACGGAAACCTCAACTAGGCAATGAAAAGCAGTTCTGGGGACAATGGAAGATAAGGCAAGCTCCTGCCAAGTAAGTACTTTGCAAACAACAGTAAAAATGGAACGTGTGAACTCATGACCAGGGTCTATCGGTGAATTTCGGGAAGGTCTTATAGAATCCGAAATGGAGAATCGAATAGCGGCTCTACAGCCATCTCCAGGGAGAAGAGCATTCCTTTAAGAAGGGATTGTACCAGCTGGCTGCACTACAGCTCCCAGAGATTTCCTGGCTTGCCTCCTGGCCCCACCCCTTGTCTCTGGCCTCAGCAACGCGTGACGTCATATGAATGTGCAGCTGTCTATTGGCTGAACGACGCAGCTAGGTCAAGTCCAGTCAGAGGAAAGAAGTTTGTCTCCATGTGGAAACCATGTGTCTCTAGCTGGGAGGGGGAGGAGGAGGCGGAGAAACTGAGATCAAGTGATTACAGGGGAACTGGCTGAAATGAAGGCGGGGAGGTTGTGCACCTGAGCCAGCCAGCAATGCCCTTTGCAGTAGTGACCTAAAAATAAAAACCCAAAACTTGCCCAACAATCAAAACTTGAGCCTTCCCATTATAATAATTAAAAAGCCAGGGTCCCTGCTTCCTTCCAAAAACCAGGGACCTGGGAAATGCTGGAATCCTATCGGAACGCCCAGATCCCCATCCCTCCTCCCAACGACTGAATGATGTAAGCTTTTCGGAAAGCGGGGCTCTGAAGCAAAACAAGTCCCGCACGCGCGGAGCGACCCGCAGTGCCCGAGCCGGGAGCACGCACGACCCGCCCCCCGACTCGCGTTATTGCTTGTGCACACGCGGACCGCCGTGACGCGCGGGCATTGTGTGCAGCGAGCAGAAAACAACCGCGAGCGCCGCCAGCGCGAAGAAGCACCCCCAATAAAATGAGGCAGATGTAGGGCCCGCGGTTTTCTGTACCCAGACCGGGAGTGGGTGTTGGTGGTAGTGGAGTGGGTAAAGTGGACACCGTGGATCGCTCCAGTTTGCAAGGGGGATGGATAATAGAGGGCCCGGCAAAGGGTCGCCAGTAGTTTGCCGGAGGTCGCTCTCGACTGTGTAAGCTATTGGGGACGGGAGCGAAGGCCTGGAGTGGGGTCGCAGTAGCCGAGCTGGGCACGGCGCAGCGTCCCACGCTCTCGGGGAAATCTGGGGGCTGTTGACATCACGTCTTACAGAGCCAAACAGCGGCTGCGAAAAGAGGCAAGAGAGCTAAAAATACTCTCGCGGGGTGCTGGCCAGAGGCGGGGGGAGGGGGGGTGGGCAGCAGGGCCGAGGGACTGATTACGCACTCGAAGTTGACTTTGGGGCGCTGAGGTTCCGAACCCCTCTGGGATTCTGGAGGACCTACTGCGCGGACGCCTCTGGAGAGAGACCGAAGAGGAAGCCACTAGGCTTTCTCAGCCTCGGGGCCCAGCTCTGCTGCTGCTGCTGCTGCTGCTGCTGCTGTCCCGCCCCGTGCGGGGCAGCCGGGCCCGGCGCGCCCGGCCCTCTGCTTACGTGACTGGTGGCCACGCCGGAGTCCCGTCACGGGGTAAACAAGGAGGTGGCGGCGGCCAGGGCTGCCAGGGGAGGGTTGTGACGGGGTGGTGGAGGTCTCTGATTGTCTGTGGGTGCAAAGGGGTGACGGGACGCGGCGGAAGCTACAGCACCCTCCTTAGTATACCTTGCTGGGGGAGGGGGGCAAACCAGGTTTGGCACACACTTCCAAGGTGCCCTCTTAAGGCGCACCCCCCGCAGGAGCCGGCGCCAAGCGACAGACTCCAGAGAACCGGGAACCCGAGCTGGGGGTAGCTAAAGAAATCGCGCCCCTCCCCCCTCCAACAAAAGCAAACACACCAAACAAAACCACATCTTCACCCAGGTCCCCACCAGCTCTGGCTTTTCAGTAACCATCACCCCTGCCACCACCATTACCCCTTATACACACACACTCCGAATAATCACAATCTGATTCGGCTACACAGCCGGCGATGCGCCTTTCTTGAAACCCAGGCAGGCTCTCCGACAAAACAAGAGAGAAGAGAAAGAAAAGATCGCACCACCGACCTTCCAACACAAATCCTTGTTTTTATGCCTTACAGCTTCTGCAAAATTGCGTTGCCAACACAGGCTTACTTTAACCCTGGAGGCCTGGAGTGTCGGTCAGCTAAGGTGTTTTTGTGTTTGAGGGTTGTTGTTGTTGTGTTTTGGGGGGGAGGAGGTTACAAGATCTGACACGTTGCAATCGGACTACCCCCCCACCCCCCTTCTCATTGATCTTCCTACTTGTTCGGACAGATTAAACAGACTGGTTTTTTCTAGTCTGTCGTTCTATCTGCCCCGGCCCCTTCCCCCTTCTCGAAGCTATTATTTGTGAGGACCGCGCTGGAGACACCGCACACGCGTGCCCCCGTTAGGGCGCAGAGTCTACTGCCTGGGGAGGACTGGGGGACCCGGCTGGCAGGAGCAAAAATGAAACAAACAAATACCAAAAAAAAAAAAGGAGGCCAGTCTGGGTGGGGCTCCCAGCAACCCTCCCCTCAACGCATCGCTCTCCACCTGAATCGGGGTGGGGGGGGGAGTTGGGGGGGGATGATAGAAATCGAACATAAAGGCGTTTGCCTTACTAGCTAGCCCTGCGTGCTCGCTCGGGAGCCGTCTCTCGGAAAATAAAGAAACCGCACACAACAGCCCACACCTTCTTCCCCAACTATTGTTTCCTGCGAGATCCCAAAGTTTCCTTCTAGCTGAGTCCCCCTAGCCAAGTTTCCCCATAGGACGGCGGGTCCCGGGAGAGCTGCTGGCGCTGCATGGCCCAGTCGGCCTGTTTCTTTGTGGGGGGCGGGCGGGTGGGGGGGAGGTGGCACCCCCAGGGCAACAGAGGCGCAGGGGCACTGTAGCGGAGGACGCGTTGGCCTGAGCCCAGCCCCGCTGTGAGAGGGGAGGAAAAAGCGAAGTAGACAGGAGGGAGAAGCAGAGCCGAGCCAGCCCAAGCCCACGCCGTGAAGGGCTTTTGGTGGCAGTTGTTATTGTTGTGTATGTCTGTGTGTTTTCTTTCTAAAACCGCTGAGCATTGCCTACGGTTTCCAACTTTCGGCTTCTAATCCTCCCCACCCCACCCAGGAACGAGCGACAGAAAAACAACACTTGTCTGCCCGAGAAGGCTCCGGAAAAAAAAAAAAAAAAAAAAAAAAGGGAAGAAAGGCGACCTCGAAGAGATGAGCTCTCGGCTCAGTTGTCAGAAAACAACAACATCACAGCTCCTCGGCGGGGCAATCCTCCCAGCCCCGGGGGGACGGACAGACAGATGCACGGACAGACCCCCCCCCTCACCGCCATCCCCCCCCCCCGTTCGTCTTTGTTACATCTTTAGAAGCTTTGTGCGTGCGTGTCCTTTCTCCCGTGTCATCGGCTTTACTGCCGAGTGCTGGATGTGTGTTGGGGGGAGGGGGACGCTGGCAGAGCAGGCGACAGGGGTCGCCCAAGTGGGCGAGGAAGAAAGAGCCGGGCGCCGTGGAGGAGCGGGGCCCCCAAACTTACTTTTGTTTTCTTTCTCGATCTGCTCCAGGTAGCTGGCGGCCTCGAGCAGAATCTGCACGTTCTGCAGAAAAGTGTTGATGTGCTTCTCCATCGAGTTCTCGCTGGTGTTGAAAATGTCCGAGAAGGGGCACCTGAGCTTGGCCCCCGCGGACTCCTCTGGCTGGGCAGGGGGCTGGGGCGCGGCCACGGCCGGGGGCGCGGTGGGGGCCAGCCCCGAGCCCTCGCAGCGCGCCTCCTTGCGCGGCCGCCCGCGTTTGCCCATGGAGGGACCGGGGTCCGCCGAGCTCGTCCTCTTCTAGGGCTGCGCGGCCCGGCCGAGCTCCGGGCCCCAGGGGAGACCCGGCTGGCTGGATCCAAGGAGGCGCCTAGGCGAGAAGGCGATCTGACTTCCCGAGGCTCACTACGTGCAGTTGTGTGCCTGAGTGTGAGTGAGTGTGTGTCGGTCTCGCAGTGGGTCTGTGTGTATGGGAGATTGAATGAACCTACAGGACAGACGGAGGCGCTCTGGCGCCTGGGTCCTAGTGCGAGCCTGTCGCCATCGGACGGGTCAAAATAAAAGGTGGAGACAAGCGAGGCAGGGACCGCCCCCTGCCTGTCCCCGCACCCTTCCCCGCCTCTCCCCACCTCTTACCACTGTTTAGAGCACTGCATTTTAGCCGGAATGGAAAAAATACTCGGTGCCTCTGATTGCACCTGTCATGAAAACAAACTACTAAACTATTTTTCTCTTCACGTAAAAATAATTCCTCATAAACCGTCCATCACAAGGATTGGCACATAATAGATCCCCAATAAATGGTAGCAGCTATGACTTTAAAAAATAAATAAATAAAAGCCCAATTAAAAAAACAAAACAAAACTCATCACATGTAATCTGAAGTCCCCTACCCCAATACACACACCCCTACACACACTCACACAGAGGCAAGGCCATGTGCCTTCAAAGGGCCAAAGAAATCCCCAGGCCAACAAATCCCAGGTTACAGATTTACTCACTCTTTCTTTCTCCCTTCAGATGCAAAGTTATTTTCCAGGAAGGGGAGGAGATGCAAGCATCTCTTCCATACTCCTCTTCCCAGCCTTGGTACAGCTGTGCAAAGTTCACACCAGGGTGCCATCACACCTGGCCCCCTTTTATTTGACAGAGAGACAGAAGTGGCAGCCCAGGATCACCCCACCTCAGCTGAATTCCACCTTTTGGCTCTGAAGACCCCTACCCTGGTTCACCTTGTTTTCACTGCTGCTGCTGTCACCCAGTCAGGGTCTGCAGGAACCCTGGGCACTTTCCAGGCCTGGGAAGTGTCCCTGGAGTCAGGGATATTTGAAGGCCTCTGGGGAGTGCCATAGAGAAGGGTTCAAGTCCTACCCCTGCTGCATACAGACTGTGTGAGCTTGGGCAAGTCCCCTAACCTCTCTGGCCTAAGTTTCCCCACCTGTGAAACCTCTAAATCTTGTCCTAATTAGGTTATATCTGCACTGAGCACTAATTAGTTTATATCTGCACTGCCTGGTCCATAGTAAGGTACTTTTCCTCCAATCCAGACCCAGACAAGAGCCTGGGCCCCCTACTTATATCCAAGAGAAAATAAGTTGCAGGAAACAAGGCTCTTCTGCATTTTGTTGGAAAACATCTCTGCAACAAGCCCACGTTGCAAGGCCAGCTGTTTTCCTCCAGGGGAACCATTTTCATAGAAGGCACGGGAATGCTGCCCCCTACAGTTGTGCCACACAGCCAACCTGCTCAGAGGCAGCTTCATGCACATCTGTCAGGAAGACTATTAGTGGAAATGAAAACTTTGTGGGGGGAAAAAGAGATAAAGTGCATTTCTTTGTAAAATACTAATAAAAACTTAAGAGTACATACACCCTCACAGAGCCTTCAAAGTCTTTGGTATTTTTAGAATACAGCAGGTCCTCAAATAGCATCATTTTGTTATAATGTTAGCTGAAGGAAACTTAACTCTCATTTATATCAATTAGCCAATGGGTGTCATTATAAGTCGTTTTGCTTAAAGTCACAGAACTTATGGATGATGTTAAGTGAGGACTTACTGTATACTAATAACATGCTGCTGGCATGACAGTAACAATCAGTAATTGACATTTTAAAGCCAATGTATTCCTAAGAGCTAAAAGTTCACCTTCCATTATCACAATTACTGACTTTTTGTTCCTGTTAGAACCACAACCCAAGTTATTCATGTTTAAAAATCTATAAATGTCTAGGGGCTTTAGGAAGGTACGGTTTCAAGCAAGTTTTATCCAATACCATTTTGCAAAAATTGGCACTTGTGTGAAATCTCCCTGGCCCCAAATGAAAGATGATAGTGAGACAATAAACCAGGGAAGCCCAGACCCTAAACACCTTGGTCTCTCTAATTCCCCAGTGGAGGCCTGGGTCAATGTGCACATATGCAGTCCTGTGACCTACATGTATGTACACACACACACACACACACACACACACACACCCGAGACAGGCACACCCCACGAATGAGTGCAGGGGTGGTAGGAGAGTGTTTTGTAATTATTTATTTATCCTTATTTCATCTCTCATAGGTCTGTGAGCTTCAGAAAGCCCAGTGGGAATCTTCAAGCTGGGCCACGAACCTGACCAAAGCCAAAATAAACAATGGCTTGAAGAAAATCTACAAAAAAAGTGCTGATTTGCACTATTCCCACAGTCGGCCACAGCCCCCACCATCATTCCCATGGAAAACACCACTGCTGGTGCCAAATCAAGTTTTCCCCCCATCATAGGGGCATTGTTTTTTGTTATTATGTGAGTTCTTAGCATCAGACAATGGCACCACAAGAGACACAGTGGAGGCAGGAGAAATGCTCTTTTGTTTCACAAAGTCTGTGCTATTGTAGCCCAGAGTCTCACATGTAGTTTGGTTGCATATATTCATTTGGATAACATGTATGTGGAATGATGAATGTGCTGAGCTAAAGCTCAAAGCCCTTTTCTTGTTGGTTTTTTTTTCAGAGCCCATCAAGTGTTAAATCATGTTAGCATCATATTGCTCTCCTCCCTCCCCCAGTGTCCCCAATTAACGGATTTCTCTAATAAAGTGAGCTTCAACAGAAGAAGTGGTGGTTCAGGGGTTATATCATGGGACAAGCATCCAGGATGCTGGGTTACAAGCTCAGCTCCATTCCTGATTAGCTTTGCTTCCCAGGAGGAGCCATTCAAACCCTTTGCACCTCACTTTCTCCAGAGCTTTGACTCCATAAATAAACAGGCCTCTTTGGAAACTGGTTGAGAATTTCTGCAGAAACTGGTAGGGGATGAGAAGGCAGGTGGCCAGCCTGATAAGAACGTGTGCACGCTTTGAAAGGAAAGCAGTGACTTGTTGCAGTGCCCAGCAAGGCCAGCCACAACACTCCTAAGGCCCAAGGTGTCTTGGTGCCTGCTCAGCATGAGTCTTATCTTCCCAAACTTCTTTTTCTTTGTTCAGCCTATTTGGTAATATTTTTCCATCAACCTTGTTTGCATATTAAAGCAAGATCAATCTCTCTTTTATTTGCCCCTCTTTCCCCCAGACATTCTATACTCTTACATCAAAGGAGTTGTTTTGTCTGTAATTGTGTCTTCAGGTGCACAGAGGCTGGTTAATTACTGAGATGGCGCTAGGAGAGTTGCCCCAGACCTCCCCATCCTGCAATCGGATGGGATGCTCTTCCCCATCCTGGACCATTCTGGTTCTCCTGGGCTCCTTAGCTCTGCCCTTCCTCCTTACTTGTTCTCTTCTCACTAGTCCTTTCTGCTTGAATCTGTCCAACCAAAGTCTAGCTTTTCTTTGGACTTGCCAGCATGGCCATATCAGGTTCTTCCCTGCTCTTTGACCTGTGGTCTTTGTACTAGGCTTGGTAAATACCATCAAGAGATCTTCTGTCTTCTGCATTGACACTTGAGTCCTAATCCCCAGAGCTCTCCCAGCTAGGTTTTTTCTGGGCACCATTCCCTTTGAAAAGGGATCATCCAGCAATGAGCTGAAGAGCTGGCTCAGGGCTCCTTCTCTCCTTGGGAGTCTTCATCTACTTTCTATTAAAAGGGAGCAGTGGCTTCAAGGAAAGCCCAGGACTAGAGAGTCAGGAGCTGCAAGACACAAGTAGCATGTCAGGAACAAGAGCGGTGGGGCTCTGCCTCTCCCAGTGGCTCCTGGTACAGCCTTAAAAGTGCTGACCAGGCCTCCTTCAACCACTCCCCAGGCCCCCACCCCCACCCCCACCCACACACTCACCAGCGGGTGTAGACATGGGCAGAGGATAAATAGCCTCCACCCTACACTGGAGCTTGCCTGGGTGTCACCTGCTCCTGAGGCATTATCTCTGCTCTTCTGGACTCTGCCCTCCCTCCTCCTGGACCTCTGAGGTTGGCAGGCCCTTCCTGTCTCAGACAACTCCTGGGCTTCTTCTATACAACGCCCAGTACTTACAGGGTTCATTAGACTATGAGCTCATCAAGGACAGGAAGCACGCCTCGCTCCCCCTGGCATTCCCAGCTCCTGGCACCTGGCACAGCACATGCATGACACAGAACAGGGGCCACGGCCATGAAGGTCGAAGGCATGAATGCCCTCTCCTTCTTGACTGGAATCTTGGTGCTGGCCCTTCATGGCTTCCTTGTTCCAGCATGGCAAGAAGAAGCATTTGACACCGTCTGTAAAACTATTTCTGAGTCACTCACATTAAAGTTTAAATATCAAGATGCTGTCTCAGTGGAGAAGCAAGAAACCCATGGAGCCAGATGGTTGACGTTCCCTTCCCAAAAGTATAGAGGCTCAGCCTCCCTTTCCCCTGTTCTTGCTGCTCTACAGATCTGGGAACAGAATGGTTCTCCTCTGTAATAAGAAGAATAAGAAGCCTCTGATGGAGACTTTTCAGATATCATCAGGCTGTGAAGGCAGTGGCCTGAGATCAAGGTGGGATTTATATACAGCTCTTCCCCCCCCCCCATCTTCTCACTCTGGGGTGTCTTCTAGATGGATCCTTCAGGCCCCGACTAACATCTCCATATATATATATATATATTTTTTTATCCTCACCCGAGGACATTTTTCGATATTTTGTTCAGATAGAGTGAGAGGGAGAGAGAGAGAGAGAAACATCGACGTGAAAGCGACACATCGAGTGGCTGCCACCCACATGACCCAACCAGGGCTGGGGACAAACTGCGACCAAGGTACGTGCCCTTAGCGGGAACCGAACCCAGGTCTCTCCGGACCGCAGGCCGACGCTCTAACCGCTGAGCCAAACCGGCCAGGGCTCCATATATTTTTTAAAAAGGGAATTAATCAAAGATTCTAAATTCAGGCACTAGTGAACGATACTAAATTAAATACAATCATTCCCAGAGACATTTGGCATTAAGGTGGCCAATGCCTTAAGATAAAAGAATAAAGTTTTAATGGTGAAATGCTAGGTATCAGGTGATGGAAGGGAAGGGATCTTCAGGTAGAAAAGGATCTTCCTCC